TTATTTAAAAAAAAAAAAAAACATAATGAAACCATGAGTTTAGCATATCTTTAAGCGTGAAACTCAGAGACTTGAGAAAACAGACCCACCTAAAAGATAAGTTAAACCACCAACCCCTGAATTTACAAATGAGACCTCTGAGACCCAGCATTGCTAAGTAACTGCCTGAGGTTATTAGTATGATTGGATTAAAACCAAAGGAGTTCTGGTGGTATAGTGCCTAAGGCATTTGACTGCTAACCAGAAGGCTGGAGTTTCAAACCCACAAGCCACTCCTCAGAAGGAAGGTTAGGCAATATACTTCCCTAGTGATACCGCCTTGGAAACCCAAGGAGGGGTTGCTATGAGTTGGATCTGATTCGATGGCAGTTGGTTTGGATTTTTTGGATTTTTGACCCAAGTCTATCGCTTCTTTTGCAGTATTGTAGATAAGGGTGTACATTAGCTACTGAGAGAGATTTTAGTTGTATAAATATGAAGTTAATATAAACAAACATGTGGGAATGTTCTCTGCTGACTCAATTGAAAACACTTACATACAACACACATATGCCCTCCAAGCAGATCAGAGTAAATTCCTTTTAAGTCATATAAACCACAGCATGGCATTGGTTGTAAAAGAGAACATTAACATCTGTAATGTTATAACTTACAATGATAACCTAGATGGACAAGGAACAACCCAACCAAAGGAAGATAAAAAATCAAATAAGGAAAATTATCCATAATATAAAATAAACACTAAAAATAACACATTGTTTTGTACACTAATACATTTTCTATAAAACAAAAACAAAAAAAAACCTCACTGCTATTGATTCCAACTCATAGCAACCCCCACTGGGTTTCCAAGGCAGTAAATCTTTATGGAAGCAGATTGCCTATTCTTCCTCCCACAAAGTGGCTGGTGGGTTTGAACCACCAGCCTTCTGGTTAGTGGTCAAATGCCTTAGGCAGTATGCCACCAGAGCGCCTACATTGTCTAATAGGGACCCTAATTCATTTAACAAATATTCATTGCATGTCCAGTGTATGCCAGGTATGTTTTGGGCACTAGGGACACAGCAGAGTGAGAAAATGGACAAAAGCCCCAACCCTCATGGAACTGATGTTCTACAGGAAACCAAAATTCAATAACTATTACAGTACTACTCTAGAACCCATTTTCCTGAGATTTTGGTGGGTAATTAATTCAATCAGAAAATTGATGATATCTATATTCCCATGTGGGTATTATTTTAATAAAGATTGCTTTTTGGTTTTTAGAGAGAAGAAAATGGCTTTCCAGATGGTGCTGGAGAACCCCTGTCAGGTAAATGATTGACTCAAATGGTACCTGGACTTCAATAATAACTGTTGTTGTTATGTGCTATTGAGTCAGACCCAACTCTTAGCAACTCCTCTTTGGGTTTCTGAGGTGATATCACTACAGAAGTAGATTGTCCAGCATTCCTTCCTAGAAGTGGCGGGTGGGTTTGAACCGCCGGCCTTCTGGTTAGCAGTCAAGTGCCTTAGGCACTAAGCTACCAGAGCACCCTCAATAATAACTAACAAGGCTTAATTAAAGAGAATTTATCATTAACTTGAAAAATCGATATTGCATGATAAAGCAGCTTTCCAACTTTATGTTGTGGCGAGCTACAAGGAAATCTGTATCTTACAACATTTACAAAAGTCTTCAAAGTGTATGTTCTCTGCTAACCATACTTTGCTTGTGAAAGGTGCAGCAGGGTTCTGACTTAGGCAGGCTTAGGGTTGAGCTACAGTCAGAACCAAGCAGACCCTCCTTCAAGTTTTCAGAGCCATAGTATTGGCAGAAAGAGTGGGTCAGATGGAAGAAGAGTGACTATCTCTGTATTTAGGTATACCAAAGTAGTGTGGGAACGGCTACCTTGTCCATATCCACCTTATTCTCTTCCTGTAGTTAGTTACTACGTACTTACCTATTGACAATGAGCCAACTCCAACTCATGGTGGCCTCATGAATGTCAGAGTAGATCTGTGCTCCATAGGGTTTTCAACGACTGATTTTTTGGAAGTAGATTGCCAACTCTTTCTTCCAAGGCACATCTGGGTGGACTTGAACCTCCAATCTTTCAGTCAGCAAATGAGCATGTTACTGTCAGCAGCACTGAGGGGGAATTTTTCCTGGTATTAAACCATGCATTACATCTTTCTCCTTTTCTTCCTTTTCGTGTTTTTAACCAAAAAAATGTGAAAATTTGCTTCTATTTCTCACCCCCCCTTGTATTTATCTTAAAACCCAGAATCTTTGGCAATGTTTAGAGTTCTTATTAATTAATCATGAGGAAAACATAGAATAACAATTAAAACAAGCTATACAAACAAGTAGAAATTAAAAAAAAAAAACACCAACAGTGTCTATATCTTTTAAAATATTTTGAATCATTGGAGTTTTGTTTGCTTCTTTCTTTTCTTTTTTTAAAGGAATGGGGAAGATGAATAATGAATGCCCTCAGGAGAAGTTATAATCTGTAATCAACTCAGATTGTGCCAAGTAACAATGCTTAAAATCAGAACACACAATACTACTCTTTAAAACTCAACCTTAGAAATATGGTGGTAAGAAAACACACAAATAAGCTAGTAATAGCCATTATCTCTGGATGGTGAGATTCTAGGTGATTATTTTTCGTTCAGTAGATTTTCACTTATTGAGGACCTACTGTGCGCCAGGCTCTCAAAGGAAGCCATGTGGCAAAAGTACAGCTCCAAAAAACAGAAGTGGCATTCTGGTTCCAGTTCAGCTACCATCCAACTATGATAAGACATATACATACAAGGGGAATCTGGGCCAGACAACCTTTGGTGATACCTTTCTACCTACATTTAATGAGACATACTTAATTTGCAGGGTCCCATCCAGTATTCCCACTGGAACACTCACCTCCCTTTGATGATACCCCATCCCTTCCAGAGTCTGGGAGCATTGAATAATAAGGAATTCCTCTTTTATAAATGCTGTAGCAGAGACAGGCTCAAATTAGAAGCCCCTAATTGGAAGACATAGGGTGAGAAAATCACCTTTGCCTATAAGTAGAGGCAATTTTTATTTTCTTCCCACTAGCCCATATTTTTAATATTTCTAACATGAATGGGTATCTCAGAAAAAAATTTTTAAAGCTTTTAATCTGTTACCAACTTGTAACCAGTTGCCATTGAGTCAGTTGCAATTCATGGAAATTCTGTGTATATCAGAGTAGAACTGTGGTCTATAGTAGCTGGTTTTTCAGAAGTAAATAGCCAAGCTTTCTACTGAGGCACTTCAGGGTACACTTGACCTACAAACCTCTTGCTTAGCAGCTAACTGAATTAACTGTTTATAGCACCCAGGAACAAATGTATATTTGACAGATTACCAGCTATAGGCTAATACTCATGCATATATAGTAAAATAACCAAGGAAATCTCCAAAATGTTAACTGTAATTGGCCTGGGTAGTGAGAACATATTTTTTATTTCCATGTGCTTATCTGGATTTTCAGATTTTCTATGATAAGCACATATTTCTTTTGTAATAAATAAGCAACAACTGTGTTTAAACTTTTTATGGACCAGTACCCCACACGCTGAAAGGTCAACTAAAATAAAAATAATTTGTTTTGGAATATTGATAAACCCTTCAAAGAATAAACTTTTCACAGTAATAGCAGATAATATTATGTTATGAACCCACAACTAGACTGATCTCAAGAGCAGAAATTTCAAGCTAGTATCTTTGGTACCTGTTGTGATGCATGACACACAGGGTATTGTGTTCTTGTTGTTTGCCATTATCAGCAAATAAGAGTCATTATGCTAATGGCTTTGTTGTTGGATGAACAACTGGCAAAAGCAGATGTATTTTATCTTTGAGTTGGAGTAGTAACTTAACTAAGGTTTATTTTATTTTATTTTGACAAAAACCAATTTAGTGTTTACTGTATACCAGTGCCCTTCTATGGAGTCCCTAATTAGGTGGCACAAATAGTTACCCACTTAACTACTAGCTGAAAGGTTTGTGGTTCGAATACAACCAGAGGTACCTTGGAAGTCAGGCCTGGCGATGTGCTTCTGACAGGTCACAGCCTTGAAAACCCTGTGGAGTAGTTCTACTCTGTATATATGGCATTACCATGAGTTTGGATTGACTGGACAGCAACTACCAACAACAAACCTCTTCTAAGTACTTTACAAATGTGGCTCATTTAATGCTCAAGACACCCTGTGTGTAGGTCCTGTTATTTTCCTCACTGTGTAGATACAGTGACAAGGCAGAGAGAAGTTAAATGACTTGTGCTCCTCCACACAGATGGTAGGTGAATTCAAGCCCTGGCAGGCTGACCTGAATGCCTCCTATCCATGACACTAGGCTGCCTCTTGCAAATATGAATGCATCACCTGTGTAATACGCACCTTGAATGATTCATTGTCATCTGGGACTCAAGGCAGAATTTCAGTTGTCTCAAAGAGATAAGGTCTTAAGCTGGAACAAAGCTAAAGTGCCCCCAATACCACTCTTACCCCTCCCCCCTCCTGCAAAATAGTCCATCTCTGGGCAGCTGGAATACCTTTCACAACAGCTGCATTTATTCCCTGGGTGAGCCCCTCAGACCTTAGCTCAGAGCCTGGCTTTTACTTAATTCGTCATTTGACAGCCTCAGTTGCCTGTGGTCCAGTCTATAGCAGATTTAAATAAGGAATATGGAGAGGGTGGAGGGCACCATTACAGGAGGGACATAGACAGGATTGAGGATAGTTTGAAATCAAGGAAAGGGAATTAATAAAATCCACATACCACTAGAAATTCAAGCTCCCCTGGTGGCATTCACCTCAGGAGGCAGAGCACGAGAAAATAATGAATATGCATAATGACGGAATAGATTTTTAAAAATAGGTAAAAAAACAAAAATAAATTATGTTCAGTTTACCATGTTAAAAGAGATGTTAAAGTTTACAATGTTTATACAATTTTTCAAAATTAAAAACATTTGGGCATTAAAGGAGTAAGACTTAGTTATCAAAGACATTCATAAAACTAAGATTTCTTAAAAATTTTAAAATACACCTTAACAACAAAAAGACAAACAATCATCCAATTGAAAAATGGGCAAAGGACATGAACAGACACTTCACCAAAGAAAACATTCAGGTGGCCAACAAACACAGGCTCGCGATCATTGTTGTTGTTATTTGCCATCGAGTTGGACCTGACTCATAGCGACCCCTCCTTGGGTTTCCGAGGCAGTATCACTATGGAAATAGATTGCCCAACCTTCCTTCTGAGGAGTTCACGATCATTAGCCATTACAAAACCAAACCCACTGCCTTCGAGTCTCCTTCGACACACAGCAACCCTATAGGACAGAGTAGAACTTTCCCAAAGGTTTCCCCAAGGCAAGAAATCTTTATGGAAGCAGACTCTTCATCTTTCTCCTGCAGAGTGCCAGGTACATTCAAACACTGACCTTTTGGTTAACAGCTGAATGCTATAACCATTGCACACCAAAGCTCTTTTCATTACCCATTAGAGAGATGCAGATCAAAACAACAATGAAGTATCGTCTCACCTCGGCAATAATAGCAGTCATCAAAAAGTCAGAAAACAACAAATGCTGACAAGAGTGTGGAGATATTGGAATTCTCATACACAGCTGGTGAGATTGTAAAATGGTACCACCACTGTGAAAAATGATGATTTGGTTCTCTAGTGCTGCTATCCTTGGAAGGAAGATTGGGCAATCTAATTCCATAGAGATACTGCCTCAAAAACACAAGGAGGGGTCACTATGAGTTGAGTAGACTCAATAGCAGTGAGTTTGGTTTTTTGTTTTCTTGGGGTTTTTTTACCCTCTTAGTACTGTTATAACAGACATACTACCAATGTATAGCTTTAACAAACAAGGAATTATTCTCTTACAGTTTAGGAGGGTAGAAGTCTAAGTTCAAAGTGCCAGTTCTAGGAGCTAGGTGAAAGCTTTTTGACCTTGGGTTTCAGCTCTACCTCTTGCTGCCAGCCGAGTGAAGCTGAAGGCTTCTCTTAACTCAGGCAGCTGCTGGCTGCTGAAGCTGACAAGCCCATGGTCAACAAGTAAAATGGCACAGTCCCAAGATTATCAAGCAACATGGCAGGCCACTAGTTCAAATTCAGAATGAGTCCCAAGATTCGCAGGCAATATGGCAGGCTGCTGAATGAAGAAAGACTTAACTAAATGCAGGATCCAAGCATGCCAAAAAAAATGAGAGAGATTTCTTAAAGCTGCCGATTATATACTGGAAGCAGACCACATCCCTAGGGTGGCTACTAAGCTG